GCCTCCCGACTATCACATAGTGATGCGGTGACCGCATCCTGCACTCCTTTTACAGCTCCCGGCGCCAGCCTGCCCTCAAGGTCCCCTGGGCAGGGCCACGGGGGACTTGGAGTTGGCCAGCTAGCTCAGCCTGGCCAGGGAGGCCTCTGGCCCTGCTCTCTCCCATGCACCTCTGCCTCCAGCCTCCCAAGCTCTGACATCTGGGGGAGTCATGACACCTGGGGGAGCCGATGACACCTGAGTGAGTTGATGTCACCTGGGGAAGTCGATGTCACCTGGAGAAGCCAACGCCACCTGGAAGAGTCGATGCCACCTGGGGGAGTTGATACCAACTGAGGGAATCGATATCATCTGGGGGAGCCGATGTCACCTGGGGGAGTCAAGTCATCTGGAGGAGCTGCTGACACCTGGGGGAGCTGATGATGCCTGGGGAAGTCAGTGTCACCTGGGGAAGTCGATGACACCTGTGGGAGTTGATGACACTTGGGGGAGCTGATATCTCCGGTGGAAGTCGATGACAGCTGGAGGAGTCAGTGTCATCTGGGGGCGTCAATGACACCTGGAGGACTCAATGTCACCTGGGGGAACCGTTGTCACCAGGGGATCTGATGTCACATGGGGGAGTCAATGTCACCTGGGGAAGCCAATGACACCTGGGGGAGCCGATGTTACCTGGGGGAGCCGATGTCACCTTGGGGAGTCAATGTCACCTAGGAGGGTCGATATCACCTGGGAGAGTCGATGTCACCTGGAGGTATCACTGACACCTGGGGGAGCTGATTTCACCTGGGGGAGCTGATGTCACATGGGGGAGTCAATGTCACCAAGAGGAATCGATGTCACCTGGAGAAGCTGCTGACACCTGGCGAGTTGATGTCACCTAGAGGAAGTAATGTCATCTGGGGAAGCTGCTGACACCTGCAGGAGTCGATGTCACTTGGGGGAGCTGATGTCACCTTGGGGAGTTGATGTCACCTGGGAGAGTCGATGTCACCTAGGGGAGCCGATGTCACTGGGGAAACTGATGACACCTGGGGGAGTCGATGTCACTTGGGGGAGTCGATGTCACCTGGGTGAGTCAATGACACCTGGAGAGGCTGATGACACCGGGGGGAGCTGATGTCATCTGGGGAAGCCAACATCACCTGGGGAAGCTGATGACACCTGGGGGAGTCGATGTCATCTGGGAGAGTCAATGACACCTAGGGAAGCCGATGACACCTGGGGGAGCTGTTGTCCCCTAGGGGTGTTGGTGTCACCTGGGGGTGTCATCACCTAGAATAGCCAATGTCAACTGACAGTCAATGTCACCTGGAGTAGCTGCTGACATCTGGGCGATCTGCTGACACCTGGGGGAGTCAATGTCACCTGTGGGAGTGAATGACACCTGGGGTGTCGATGTCACCTGGGGAACCCGATGGCACCTGTGGGAGTTGATGTCACCTGGGGGAGTTGATAATACCTGGGATATCTGATGACACCTGGGAAAGTCTATGTCACCTTGGGGAATTGATGTCATCTGGGGGAGTCAATGTCACCTGGGGGTGTCAATGTCACCTGCGGGAGTCGATGACACCTGGGGGAGTCAATGATACCTGGGATAGCCAAAGACATCTGGGGGAGTCGATGTCACCTGGAGGAGTCAATGACACCTGAGAGAGTTGATGTCACATGGGTAAGTTGATGACAACTGAGGAAGTCAGTGTCATCTGGGGATGCCAGTGTTCTCTGAGGGAGTCAGTGTCACCTGGAGTAGCCTGCTGATACCTGGGGGATCCACTGACACCTGGGGGAGTCGATGTCTCCTGGGGAAACTGTGACACCTGAGGGAGTTGATGCCACCCGGGGGAAATCAGTGTCACCTGGGAAGTGAATGACATTTGGGGGAGCCAATGTCACCTGGGGGAGCCAATGAGACCTGGAGGAGCCAATGACACCTCAGGGAGCCAATGTCACCTGGAGGAGCCAATGGCAACTAGGGGAGTCGATGTCACCTGGGGAAGCCAATGACACCTAGGGAAGTTGATGTCATCTGAAGGAGTTGATGTCACCTGACAGAGTCAATGCCACCTGGAGGAGTTGCTGACATCTGGGGGACCACTGACACCTGGAGGAGCAAATGTCACCTGGGGGAGTCGATGATACCTTAGTGAGCCCTGACACCTGGGGGAATGAATGACACCTGGGGGAGCTACTGACACTGGGGAAACCATGACACCTGAGGGTGCCATGACATTTGGAGGAATTGTGATACCTGGGGAAGCCATGACATTTGGGGGAGCCATGACACCTGGGCTGCCTTACTACCCTTATCAGTTACCCCAGCCTTGTGAGACCTCCCTGGGCCCATCTCCTTGGGCTCCCGAGTGTTGAAGGGAGAGGCTGTGGGCCTCAGTGGAAGGCCTGTCTTCCTCCCATTTTCCTAGTGGTCCCCTGAGGTCTGGCCTCCATCCTGCACAATGGCACTCATCACTTTCCCATCCACAACCTCCTGCTGTTCCTCTGTCACAAAGCTCTTTTCTACCCAGGCCTGACTGGAGCACAGGTCACTACCATTCCCTCACAGTCTGCATCACAAGTTGTTGTTGGGTACTGATCAATGCATTCATCTGCTGAAAACCTGGTCCCCTGCTTCAGTGAATCCTCCTAAGGGTCAGAAGGAGCTGGTGTCCACCGTTTCATACTTAGCATCTGGGACCTAGAGAACCAGTCCAACTTCCCCATAGAACTAATGGGTATGGCTTTTTGAATGAACATAAGCATT